TGAGCTCCACCGCAGGCAGTGGGATTGATTCTGAGCCGTCCCTGAGCTCCACCGCAGGCAGTGGGATGGCAGCTGGGATAGATCAACTTCCCGGTGAAGGTTCCTCATCTGGTCCTGCATCTCCCAGTGTTGTGGTGGCAGCACCTTCTGTTTCAAGGGGTGATGAAGCAGGACCCATCTCAGGTGCAGCCCCTGGTCCTGACAGCTTGTCCTCGGCCTCTCCGGACAGTGAAACTGGCCCAGGGCTCGGTCTGGTGGAGGGGGCAGAGAGTGCACGGGATGTGGCACAGGCTGGAAACCCAGAAAGTCCCTACATGGAGACAAATCCTTCAGCTTTCAGCCCTCAGGAAGATCAACTGCCTGGTGCAGGTTCCTCATCTGGTCCTGCCCCTCCCAGTGGTGAGGTCGCAGCATCCTCTGTTTCAGATCCATCCAGCCAGAGTGCACTTGGAGGAGAGGGCAATGCTCCTGAGGCTCTTCAGCCTTCCCTGGATGCTGGGCCTGGGGTTCCTGCTGCTGCAGGAGAAGGGACAAGTGAAATGGCTGGTAATGGAGAGTCCATGGGGCAGTCCCAGGCTCCTACTGGAAATGGACCAGCTGGTTCAGGAACCCCTGATGAAGATATGGGAGATGTGTTGCAGTCTGTATCTTCTTCCTCACCTACAGAGGGATCTTCATTGCCTGGGAGGACTGATGAGGCTGTTAGCAAAGCAAATCTTCCTGGAGCTGATGGAGTCGATGGTGGCTTGAATACAGGCTTGGGGGCTGCTGGCCCCCAGGAAGCCCCTGTGCCTGTCCCTGGCATCCAAAGTAGTGCCAATATTGAACTTTCTGATGGAAAACAGAGCCAAGTCAATGTGGTGCAGGTGCCTGGAGGAGCCTCGGTGAATGGGGGATCTTCCCCCGGTGCCAGTCTGGTCCCAGTGGCTCCAGACAACAGCGGTGTTTCTGACAGCACGGCCACCTCGACAGCTGCTTCTCTGCTTTTCCCTAAGCATGGGCTGAGCTCGGGGCTGGCACCCAATGGAGACACTCACTTTGCCCCTGGCACCCAGAGTGGGAGCAGACCCCTGGTACCAGGGGCACCATCTGGGCTGGCAGGAGAATCTGGAGGCATTTCTTGGTCTCTTGAAGATGAGTTGGCCTCAGGGATGCCAGCACCTTTGGGAGAAGCATCTCCCCATACTCCCATATCCCCCAGCACTGCCCCTGTGCTGCCTTCTGCTCCACAGAGAGGAAATGCTGCAGAGGGGGTGTCTGTCAGCCCTGGGCTTTCCGCTCCACTTGCAGCACGTGAGTCGATAGTGGGGTCCTCTGCGGGAGGAAAGGGGGAGCTGGGGGCTTCTGTGCCAGGGAGTCCTGTCTTGCTCCTGCCTCCCTGCCAGCCAGGAAGCACTGGAGCCCCCTCCAGGGATGCCAACAGCCCTGTGCCTGGGAAAGCAAGTGCTGTGCTCCCCAGAGTGATGGCAGGGCAAGGGGACATGGCCCGGCTCCTTCCCAGTGTGACTGGATCTGGGGCAGATATGGAAACACCCACTCACTCCCCATCTCAGGGGAGCCCAGGGCTCCCTAGCCTTCCTCCCACTGGGATCACTGCTGGTAGCACTGGATCAAAAATCCCAGGTCCAGGTCCTACTGGTGGCTCACCATCCGCTGCCCTGCATCCTGTCCTGGGCAGTAAGCTGACCACCAGCTCAGCAAATGGAGCTCCTGCCACCGCTGGGTCGAGCCTCCCCAGAGCCTTCCCAGGCCAGGGGGGATCCGAGGGAGGGTTCCCAGCCACTGCATGCCCTGGCACATCCTGCAGCCCAGCCCCTGCTGACCCAGCCCCACAAGCCCCCCTCCTCAGGGACAGGGAAGTGCTTCCCAGGCCGGGAACTTCCACTGTCACCTCTCACACATCGTCCCCCGTGGTTCCAGCTCCACCAGGAAGGCCAGCAGCTGCCCCAACCCTGCTGCCCAGCCCCGCAGGTATGTGACACTCGCAGGGCAGCCTGGGTGGGAGTAGCACATCCAGTTTCCTGCCAGACCATCCTGGGGGACATTCAGTACCCAGAAAGAAGGGGGCTGTTTGAAGCCAGGGCCCTGGAGGACACGCACCACGAGGGCCCCCTGCACATGAGCATGCACGATTGGCAGGCTGAGCCTGCCTTCAGTATGGTCCCATCAACTGGAAAACCCATCCCCTCCAAATGTTTTATTTAACAGACATACACAAGGAACTGGAGGCTGTAAACATCTCCAGAAAGAGCTGTGGGAGTTTAATTCCCTGCTCTCCCCCAATGTAGTCCTGTACAATGTTTTTCCCTTCCTAACATCTGTCCTTAAGAGCAGTATCCCAGCGGGGCTGGATAAGGGAGGGGATAGTGACCACAAAGGCCATCACAGCAGGTTTAGGGCAGCTGTGTCCATGTAAGACAGTGAAAGGAGTGGGAGCAAGCTCCTGCAAGGGAAGGTGACATTAATAGTGTTCCAGGTGGATATTGGCAGTGTTCCTCCATCGTCCTTCTGCCTAGGCTGTGTCCCATTGAAAGCAAAATCATTTCAACCCTTTAAAGTTTTTGACACAGACCAAAGGCTGTGCTGTAAGTGTATTTTGGGGCTTATTTTTATTGTTTTCTTTTCCAGTTCCAGCTGTGCCCCTCTATGGATATGGAGCGAGGGAAAATGATCGGGAGTATGTGGAAAGGAGAGTAGATTTTAATTCTCCACTTTTCAAGCCCGAGACTGGATTCCCATTTGGGAGAACCCTGCGTGACTCTCTCTACGTGAGTCTACTTGTGCTTGATTTGCTGGGCAAGCAGCCACTGCCCAAAAACCTGGGAGAGGGACCAGTAACCAGGTGCCTGGGATGGGATCCCAGCAGGGCCAAATCTACTGGGATGCTGCTGGGGTCTGTTTGCAGCAGAATGTGACTTTGTGGCCATTTTGGCAGTGGTAGGTGGTGACTTTCCTTGAGCATGGACTTGGAAAGCTCATGTGGACTTGGAAATGGGAGGGCTGCCATCCCAGTGTCAGGGAGTACCACTGGTCCTGACCTTACCTGATGGAGAGATCCCTCTGCTCAGTTTACAGACAATGGACAAATCGTTTTCCCAGCCTCGGACAAAGGCATCTTCACATATCCCAACCCTCCTCCTGGCGGCTTCAATGGCCATGAGGAGGTTCCCATGATCGCTGTATTTTGGGACAACGCCGACTTCTCCAGAGGGGTGGGCACCACCTTTTACCAGGTAAGTGAAGCCACCTGGGTACATGGTTGCATGAAACACCTTTTGGTTATAAACTCATCACCTATTCTGTGGATGCCCCACGAGATGTGTAATTAATGGAGCCCGTGAGTGGCTTTTCCCTTTTCTGGGCCAAATCTAAGAGCTATTGATCCTGTGTCACCTCTTGAGCCATCCAAATTTCATCCAGACCCTTAGTTGTAGGAGTCTGTGCATGACCCCAGTCTAGACCAGTCTTTTCCCTACTGGGAGCTAATGAAGATGTGGGTATATCCAACCTGCAGGAGTTCTCCACCCTCAACACGGCCAAGCCTCCGTTTGTCCGTGACGTGGAAGCGAAGGTTCGGCAGTACATGAGGTCCTCCTACTCTGCAGCCTGGACCCTGAAAATCACCTGGGAGAAGGCACCTGTCTATGCATCACGGAGTGACACCCGGAAGGTAAGGGGCTGATGGATCACACAGGCTGGTTGAGTTGTCAAAAAAAGCCAAGATCCACAGGTGATCACCTTTTCTGTGCCTGAAAATAAGAAACCAGTTTTGTGACAAAGGCCAGTCTTGAAGAATTTTGCCAAAAAGAACTAGGCTGTGCCCATGTTTTGGTGGTTTTCAGATTTTTGAGGGACATCTTTAGTTGAACTCTCCCTGCTCTGTAAAACCTTTATCTTTAATGTGATGGGAGTTTACTGAGCACCAGAAACACTGTCCTTCAGAGACATAACATGGTGTGAATTTGAGGCTTGTCATGGAACAGCTTCGAAGTAAAACCATCACATTTTCCATTCGAAATGTGAACTGGTTCAGGCTGTGTTTGCCTTGCACCTCCAGACCTCAGTCCTGCCATTCCCCAGAAAGCACTGACCCGCACCCCTAACTTTAAACTCACCATCTTTGCTCATTTTCTTACCTGTCTGCAATACTTGTCTCCAGACGATCACATACCAGGCCATCCTGACCACCGATGGATTCAGGTCCTACATCCTGATGCTGTACCAGGACAGAGGGATGCAATGGGATTACACCAGACTCGCTGCCACCAATGTGCTCATCGGCTACACCAGGTACAGCAGCTCAGCACCCCATCCCTGCCTGTTCTGAGCAATGGGGTGCATCCCACCCACGGCTCCAGCTTGTTGAATCCTTCCCTGTGTCCCAGGAGATGCCTTACACGGATGAGGATGAGGACAGCCCAAATGGGGTCTACATGCCCATATAGCCTAACATATGGGTGTCTCAGAACCAAATTTGCCTCATTAGTGACTGGATAATGCTGCAGCACACTGTCTTGCTGGGCTGTGCTTGTTGTAAGATCCACAAATCCCTCTGGAGTCCTGGGCCCCCAGCATCCTGGCAGTTTGGGTGGAAGGAGTGGGAAATAGGGGATGTTTGCTGAACTTTGCACCAGTTGAGGGAAGGGATTTCCGTGCTTGGCTAGAGCAGTCGCTTCCTGCCTCCTCACATTACATCTTGCCCTGTACACAATGTCTCCAGGGTTTCCTCATTAGCTGCTTGTTGCAGCTGGGTAAGGAAAAGGTGGCCTGGACTGGAAGCGCGGGTGGCACAGGCGTGTGTGTGTGTGTGTGTGTGTGTCTGTCTGTGTGTGCGCTTGCCTGTGCGTGACTACTCGAGGGTTTCTGCTCCATCTCGCCTGACAAGATGCTGAAAACCATGGGAGCTGCTTGTGGGGGTCTTCAAGTGTATGTGGGTTCAACCTCTGGTGCAGCAGGAGTGTTTGCAGCATCCAAAACTAACTGCACCCTGCATAGAGGAGGAAGTAGGCTGGGGGAGATGGTGCCTTTGCCCTCCTGTCCCTGGAGTTACTTACTGATTCTCCCTACTCAGTATCAGGATGGTTGAAGGGCAGCCTGGGGATGGGGCTGGAATAATAATCCCACCCAGGAAAAGCCCTGATTTTTCCTCTTTCCTCTGAACACAGTGGGGATGGCTTTTACTACAACGATGACCTGAGTAAGAGACCTCCAGCTGTTAAATATCGCCCTGACCAGTTCAGGGGCTACAACACAGGTAATGCCACACAGCCAGGGCAAGTTCACAAGGTTCACAAGGGGGGAGATTTTCCCAGGGAATGAAATCCAGCCTGCTGCTGTGGCAAGGCTCTCAATGAGTTCACCAAGGCCAGGCTTTCCCCTCAAGCACGTATAATGCTTCCCCCAGCACCAGCTATGCCCTGCAGCTGAAACATGCCTGCTGTGCCCATGGACTCTTTTTGTTCCAATGGCTGTGTCCCAAGGCTTTCTATATGGCAAGAGCCACTCCCCATTTCCCTGCTGTTGGGTGGCTGCTGAGCATGGGATCCCATGGCTGGGGGTCAATGTGGGCTTAGCTTCCAGCATCAGCATCACACAGCTATCACCTCGAGGTGAAACAGCCCCTGTGGTCCCCTTGGCTGGAGGTGACAGCTCATGGTTTCTCTCCCTGCTCAGACCTCTGTGGGTTGTGGATTTACAAGCTGGAGAGTCGCGTGGGCATCAACTACCGGCTGAAGTGCCTGGCATGGACGGGGCAGCAGCAGGAGCCACGGGCATGGAGCCAGGGCCTGCCCACCTGCCCCTGCTCCCTGCAGCAAGGGCAGCAGGACCCACGCTTCAAGAGCAGCCGTGGAGGCAAGTGGACATGCTGCTTCCTCACCCTCCTCGTCCCTGAGCTGTCCCTCCCCATCTTCCCTGCAGGGGTGCCTGGGGTCCCTCCTGGCAGGGTGGGCAGGTGACCATAAGGAAAATGGGAAGGGGACTGCCCTTCCCTGCAGAGACAGGGAAAGTAAGGAGGAATGACGGCTGACCTGTTCCTGTTCTGTTAGACTGGCCAGAGCTGATCTAACATGGATAGGGATACTGGGGACTGGGATCTCACCCTTGGGACCACTTGGATGGTCTCCATCAGTCCCTCCAAACCCCTATAGCACCGTGGGTGATGAGGATATCAAGGAGCCATCCCCGGCCCCGCTCCTTGCTCCGAGGCAGAGGTGCTGGCCGGGCAGAGCTGCCCGAGGCTCACTGCAGTCCCGTTTCAGGCCGGTGGGCTGCCCGTGTCTCCATGCTGCACTCAGCCTCCCCCAACCAGCACGGCGCCGGCGTCCGCTGCCTGTACGACAGCCAGAACCAGCTCATCGAGGGGCGTCAGGAGAGGTACTGGAGGTCCTCCAGGCAGGCGTCGCCCTATCGTGGTAAGCACAGCCAGCCTTGGCATCCCCTGGTTGAGGTTGGCATTGTTGTAGCTTGTAAACAATTTTAATCTCCATGCCAATCTGTTTCCTGACATGCTGTTTCCCTTGGAGGGAGTGTGGACCAGCTAAAAGCTGAAGCAAGCCTTGCCCTGGAGCCAGCCCATCTCCCTCTCCTGTCTCCTTCAGCCCCTTACTCTCCCTTTTGCCTCCAGACCAGGAGCTGAAGCTGTACGACTGGTGCTGCAACCGAGCGGGCAGCGCCCACCTCTGCGCCCGCTACAGTGAGAAGCGGCCGAAGATCGGCTGTGACGGATACCAGTCACCTGGCATGGGTGGGTTTCCAGCCTGTGTGTGCTGGGGTGATGCTGTCTTGGTGCCCAGGGCTGGAGAGGGAAGCAGGAATGTCCCAGCCTCCCCATGGTTAAGGCAGCAAGAGCCCTGGGCAGATGAGGGAAAGGTTTTGGGGTGCCCACATGCAGTTGTGCCATGCCCTGAGCTGTGCAGGGTTGTGGGAGGCATCTCTCTCAGCACATAACCACCAGCATTGTCTGGGGGTGAAGCACTGGGAGGGGAGAAGGACCACAGCTGATGTGGTTATGGTGTAAGCTGATGCAGGGCTCTCTTGCAACCCTGAACAGATTCCTCAGAGGAGATAGAGAGAGACTCAGATGAGGAAACAGGTGAGCAGGATTGCGGGTCTCCTTTCCCTCTGCCCATGTCCTCCTGCAAAAAAATGTTCTGGGGCTACCAGTTTGCCCCAGGCCCACGTGGGATTAGGTGACTGAACAAGTCTCATTTCTTCTTTGCAGATGGAGACGACAAGTAACTGGGGGGTTGCACACCCACAGCATGGTCTGAGCCACGGCTGATCCTTCGGATCCTTTGCTCTGCTCATCCCCTCTGTCCTCCCCTAGAACCCATCGCCCCTGCCCACCATGCAGGGCATCTCACTTGTCCAGTGCCCGTGGTTGCCTGCACTGGCAACTCCGTATTTCTACATGAACTATATGTTTCTAACCCAGACTTATCCCAAGGAGTCAGTTGTTTCAGTTGTCCTTTCCCAGCTGCAGTTGAGTGGGTGCCCATGGGCACCTCCTTGCTGGCGGGGAGGTGGGCAGGTACCCCCCACCACACACACCCCACCCTTGTCCTTCCTACATCCCGCTGTGTTCCCATGCTGCAGGGTGAGCCTGGACCCCTGGCACCCAGGGAAAAGGTTTCTACACCTCGCATGGGTTGACTGTGGCCAATCCCCTGAGTGCCAGGGTGCACCAGGCTGGTCCCATGAGCCAGTCCTGTCTTGTCCCCCACTTCTGCCCCCCAGCCATCCCTCACTGAGTGGTCCCTGGGTCCTGTGCCCAAGAGAAGGAACCGATTCTCCGGATCAAGCCAGAATCAGCTTGTCATGTCTGCTGGGTGTGTGAGGGCAAAATGCAACCCCATGATCAGAAATGTTGGGAGAAAAATAATTTTTTGTGTGTAAGTGAGCATATTCCTTTCTTACAAAAAATAAATCATTGCCAAATCTTGTTTGTTCAATACAACCTCTGAAGGTTCTGAGCATCACTGATCCTGCAGCAGCCCTGTCCTCTACTGAACTGGGGTGGGAGGCAGTGATGGGGCAGGCTTGGAGCAGCAGGAGTGCAGGATGCTTCTGTTCATGGATTTAGTGCTGGGGATGTGGGTGTCTGGGCTGCAGCTAAGCCAGGGTCTAAGGCAGTTAGTGGGGCTGGAGTTGGGGTCTGATGGGGTCCTTGGATCAGCATTTCCCATCAACAGAGTCGAAGGGCTGTAGGGGGATTGTGAGGAGCACAGCCTGACCTGTGTGATTTGAGCCACTGTAAGCCGTGTCCATGAAAATGGTGAGAGGAGACTTGCAGCTTTGCAGGGGGAATGAGAGGATGGAGCAACCAAAAAAATCCATCTTCACTTTGGTTCTGTGAATGGGACCAGAAAAAAGCAGGTACTTGAGAGCTCAGCAAGAGGGAAGAAGGGCTGGCGCGTGGACCCATGGGATGCAGACAATTTAGCAGCATGCCCTAATTTTTGGTTTATTCTATTTTGTTCCTATCAGGTTATAATCACTGTGTTGCCCCACCTGACCCTGCTATCAGGGACTCTGCAGGGTCTGGTTACATTGCACTAGCAAACACCCCAGCGCAGACACATTCAAGGTCGATTCTGGTTGTCTCTGCAGATCCTCAGGAGAAGGTGAAATCCTCTTGCTTTGGTTACCCAACATAAACCCACGTTTTTCAATCAAAAAAGCTCCCCCTCCAGAGTGGATCCTCCCACAAAGACCAGAATCCAAAAGGCAGATGCCTGTCCTCTGCTTCCATGTGTTGGTGTTGCTGGAGACCTTGAGAGCAAGCAGCAGAGCAGGAGACAGCGTCTGGTTCCTTTGTGAGCCTGGAGGAGCCCGAGCAGGACCAGTGGCAGGCTAGGGCTGCTGGGGGGGCTGGCCTGGGGGCCTGATGTGGGGTCTCTGGATCTTTATCTGTAAATAAGGACAGGCCTCACCATGCTGTCAATATTGCACGGGCTCTGCTCTTCACAACAAGCTCGGACAGTGGTGTGGATCCCATGCCAGCCAAAGCATCCGTGATGCTTCAGGACAAGGCACAACTCCCAAGCATCTTCAAGTCAGGGGGCCAGGATTCAGTTCCCAGCCCAAAGCTCCCCACCCCAACACCCCATGGGGACAATAACCCCCAGGCAGACCTGGACTGAGGAGTCAATGGCCTGGAGCTGTGGTTTCCAATGCCTTTCCAGGGAGTGGGAACGGATGGGCTCCACTTGTTCTTCTGCCATCGTCAAAGCTGGAGCAGAGAAGATGAGCAGAGAGTGAAGACTGGGGTGAAGCAGAGCCATGGTGGGGGCAGTTTTCAGGGATGTACTCACAGGAGAAGGGCCGTGTCCTCCAGAATGTCTCCTTGGTCCTGAGAGAGGGAAATAGAAAGGGGACAACATGTGTGGGGATGCTGGGAGAGCCCCTGCCTGCTCCTGGTGTCTGGGTCAGATGGCAAAGGGACCAGCGACTGACTGTGGGGGTGAAATGGGGCTATGAAAAGAGGAAAAGCTCCAGCTGTTGTGCACAGAATTTCTTGCCTTGGCACAAGTGCAAAAAAACAAAGTTTCTTCCCAGAGACCCCTGGCTTCAGGGCCAGCAGGGAGCTGGGAATGGGCAGGACACAGCTCCAACCAGAGCAGGGGGCTTGGGGCTCTAAGCTTCCCTGGGTGAGGATGCCACCCCAAGACCAAGGGCTGGGGGGAAAGTAAGGAGATGACAGTGCTTCCACCTCAGCCTTGCACCTTGCCGTTCTTCTGTTAACTCCCTGCTCTGCAGGAGAGGAAGGTCCAACCCTGAAACCACTTTTCCTTACTCCAGGCCAACTCTTTCCAGACACATGTGAATTGCAGTGGAAATCATTCGGGTGGTATTCAAATTAGAATTAAATAGCCCGTCTGTAACCAAGCACTGGGTGGGATGAGGAAGAAATGCAAACTTTCCCTGACATGGGGGAGAAAGAGAAGCTAATGTTCAACCCACTGATGTTATCACACCTCTGAGCAGCAGATGACTGGGAAAGGAGCTGGAAAATGCTAAAAGGTCACCCAGCCCTTTCCCCAGGCCAGATAAGTCCCACCACTGGTGGATCTTCCAAAGGTGGATTTTCATCAGTTTTTCTTTCTGACACCCAACCTGCTCTCCTGCTGCACCCCCAGCACCCACCCCTGTGTGGGTCCAGCCCACGGCTCACCCCTGGTGCTGGTGGCAGTACCGGCGGCAGAGGTGCAGGGTCAGGCAGGTGATGGCAAACAGGAGGCAGAGCAGAACCAGGGCTCCCAGCAAGATTCCAAGGAAGGCGGTGAGGCTGATGGCCAGCCACTCACACCGGGCGCCGGCCGGGGAGAAGATGGAGAAGGGCAGGCAGCTGTGGATGGGGAGGGAGGAGAAGTGATGCTGTGGGGAGAAGTGGCCGTGCTGGGTGGCCTTGTCCACCCCAGTGCTACTGCTACCTGCATGTGGGCCCCTCTGGCAGGTGCTGGCACCGGCCACCGTGCTGGCAGTAGCCCATCTTGCAAGGGGAGATGCAGATGAAGCCGATGGTCTCCATGTAGTGGAGCTGGTAGCCCTTGTAGCCATACAGAGCACAGGGGAAATAGTCCCTCAGCTCAGCCACTGTCACTGGAGAGGGAGGGCATAGGGGTTAGGCCACACAGCATCACCCCTTGATGCTACATCAGATCTCCCTGAGCTGGATCTGTGCCTGGGGTGAGGGAGGCTGCCCATGCTCCTCCTCCGCAGGCATTAACCGAACGCCGGGGCACAGAGAGGGCAATGGGGACAGTAGGGTGCTCCTCCCACCCTCCATAGCTCAGTGCTGGGAGCAACTCACGCTTCACTAGGTCAGTGATGTTGTCCTGGTGCAGATCTTGGAAGAGGAGCCCTGTGCCTGCCTCCCGTTGCCCCTGCCGCCCGTTGAAGGCACTGGTGATGGCCACTGGCAGCTCCTCGTTCAGGAACCGGATGACGGTGCTGTGGCTGTTGTAGGCAAACTCAGACACCACTACAAAGGTGAAGCCGTCACTGTCTGTCCTGCAGGGAAAAGAAGGGGCTGCTGGCAGAGCCACTGCTGCATCACGGAGTGACTGAGCCTCACTGTGCCTCAGTATTCCCGTTTGGGTGGTGGTAAAGAAGGGATGAGGCAGGAGGCAGAGGGTGCCAAATGGCTTGTTTCTCTAAGGGTTTACCAGCATCAACACTGGAAAAACAGACTCTGGGCGAGAAACCAAACCCTGTGGCCCCACGCCGAGCCCTGCCCTGCTGGATCACTGGGGTGGGCACGGGTCTGCTTCACTGCTGACTCACGTCTGGGTGATGTTGGTGTTGCTCTGGAAAGTCTTTACCTCCAGGGAGCCCAGGATGGCTGAGACCTGTGGCAGGGGGAGTGGAAAGGCATTAGGGGAGGGCAGAATGGCACCATCATGGGGAGAGGCTGAAGGGTGATGCAGGCACATTGGCTGAGCTCCAGGGGTTGCCCTGGCCTTTGGTTCATGTGCTGGGAACCTGGCACATGGCCACAGTCATAGCTGGCATCATGCAGCTGGTATTTCCTCCCTGTGGGCTTGTGGATCTGCTGGATCCCTAGAGATCCCATGGCAGGGAGGCATATGGAGGCATGAGCACCCCAAGCTGCCATGCTGCCCAGTGTGCTGGCATGTCCCCCTCCCTCAGCCCATCCCGTGACGTACAGTGCTGTTGACTTCCTCAGTAGTGGTGTTTTGCAGCGCCCTGACCCGCAGCTGGATGCTTCTCAGGGGCAGATCTGCTGGGGGAAAGCCACAGTGGCGGCTCTGGAATTCCAGGACCAGAGTGAGTGGGATTGGGGTTCACCCCCCACCGTGCACAGGCACCCACCTGCACTGGGCAGCGGTTGAAAATCCCCCCCTGCCACCAGGCAGCGCTGGTCGGTGAAAGCTGAGGGGCAGGCACAGGTGGGGGTGCAGGTGATGGGGTGCAGGTGGCAGCGTCCCCCGTTGCTACAGTAACCCTCGGGACAGTAGTGGGATCCACAGGCTGAGCCACAGCCTGGCCTCTCGCCTGCAGGACAGGGAGCCCAGATCAACTGGAGGCATCAGGCTGGCCCCAGGGCATTGAGCCATCCTCAGCTACTCTGTAAGGCCTTTCATCCAAGATTTGTTTTGTTTTTCTTTTGTGTGTTAGGACTTCTAGTGTAAACTCAGATCCTCAAGCAAAAGCTCTTCATCCCCCCTCTCCCGGCTGCAGCCATTTGCCCTTGTGAAATCCCAACCTGCTGCACTAGAATGTGAGCAAAAGCCATCACTTCAGCACCGTCACAGCCATCTGAAAATACGGTCTGATTTCATCCCCCAACCTCTGCATGTGAGATTTTTTTTTCTCAAGGAGAAAAATTGCATGGGAAAAATTTCCCTCACTGGAAGATTAGTGAAATCTACAGCCTGAGAACACAAGTGGCGGCTGGACTCCGGTCCCTTCTGTTAAGGACAGCAAGGCCTGGGCACAGAGCTCAGGCAGCTCCCACTTCTCTCCTCTCTGGCCAGCCTGGGTCCCACAGGAACCCTCTTCCACAGAGCCCAGAGGTGATGGGGCTGAGGACCATTCCTGCCAGGGAGTGTGTACTCACCCTCTTCGCTGGCTGGGCAGGAGCAGATGTAGCTCCCCACCGTGTTGGTGCAGGTGGCATTCCCCGGGCACTCCATCCCCTGAGCGCACTCATCGATATCTGCAGAGGCAATGCACCATGGCACCGGGAAAGACATCTTGGCTGGGGTCCCGCAGGCTTTCAGGGTTCCCGGCAGCCAAAGTGAGCCCTTATCACCTGAGCAATGCCGTCCATCGCCTGTCAGACCAGCTGGGCAGGGGCCGCAGCCAGTGTATGAGTCACAGCCCACACCAGGGAAGCATCCCTGGGAGCAGGGGTCCGGAGGGTCCTGGCACAAGGGACCTGAGTAGCCACTCTCGCACCTGCAGGCTGCCAGCTGGGAAGGGGACAGT